GCGAGATACATTTTGGTTATTAAAGATGGTGTCTTGAAGTAAACATGTGTTGTTCACTGAAGACTATCGTAAGCCCAAATAACTCGACAGTATTTATAGGAGGTTCGCTCGCATCCGATGCTGAAAGAAATCTGGAATGACATCCATATGAAATGTTCCGCAGGTCAAGTAATAGCTGTAGATGACTTCTGCTTGATTTACAAAGCCACCATTTTCAGTACTGAACAGATAATTTTAGGAATCAAAGCTTTGCAGTTCGTCGAATCTCTACGGTTGAAAGATAAATTATTTCCATTTCTGACCTCTTTGAATTCGATTTTAACTTGTCGGAATTGACCCTACCTTTGGAACTTTCCTTCTTAGATATCTGGACTTGTGTATGAAGTGTATCAGTGTATCACTATCCAACAACATGGTTGTTGACAGATATTGTGTTTTCGTTCATCGACAAGAGAGCTGAGAAGTAAAACCTACGAAGAAAAGGGTTGAATAATTCCAAATCAAAGCAATGTTTTGTTCATGAAAACTTGTGTAAAGCTTGACTAATCGAGTTTTGCCTGCTGTATTTCCTTATCAACCAAAAGGAATCATAAACAACTGCTGATGAGCTGTGGCTCTTTCAAAATAACAAAAATAATTTGGAATAAATGGAATTAAAAAACTAGAAGCTTAATGGGAGAAGTAGGATATGTTTTGCTTCAAAGTGAGTGATAAAAAATAGTTGTATTCGTCCCCTGCACCAGGTCACACTTCCAGCAAATTCTTGTTCTACTCACAAATCCAAGATTAAATATGTACTGTGTGGATCTATTTTGTAGACAATGGGATAACACGATTTTGGTCTTGCTCAACTTCCTTGAATGTGTTTAAAGTAAAAGGTCTACAAATGACTTTGCCTCAGACATTGCCAATGGCAATATCAATGTTCAAACTGATGAGAGTTTGAGATGTTAACTGAAAGAGAGGCAAACTCACACTGATTCAATTAAACTGTGCACGTGTTTTATAGCTCAAAAGTATAACTTATTTTGAATTTCATTAATTACAACGTCAAGATTCTTTAGTTCTTCCTTTCTTGCAATTGTCTCTGGGCATTCCACTTCAATTTTGTCAACGCAAATAGCATCTTCATCGCAGGCTTCTCCCAGTTCACAAACACTAGAATCTTTCAATTTCAAGCTGTTGCGTCCATACCAAAGAGTGTGTAATACACCGCTCTTAACGTCTTGATCGCAATGATCGAGTTCCAAAGAGGTGAGATAGATGGCAGTCCAAGGAAACTTGGGCAGCTCAGTTAGGTAACTTTCCCATGTCTGGCCAAGCTTAAATCCCAGTGTTCTGCAAATACTTTCCACAGTCTTCATCACGATTGCAAGGTCTACTTGCTCGCGGGCTTCATCATGGTAATAATTCCTCGCGTCTTCAGTGTCCATCATCAGACAGGAGTGTTCTCCTTGGCTTGGCTGAGGAATTGTGCAGCCATTACAGTGATTTACTTTCTCTTTGTGGATGAGCTCATCACAAAACCCAGCATACACAAGTTTGAACACATGGCCAATAATGGTGGCTACTTTGCGTTGAATGTTCTCAACTTTGTCCACAGTCGACTGACATTTAGTTGTTGATTGCACTCGAAACATGTTTTTGGTTTGCGGAAACAAACTTAAGATAATGTTTGGTTGAATTCTACTAGTGAAATGGCGTGTTTGACGAAAACTGGCCTTTTATTTTGAAATACAATAGATTTACGACAACCAATCAGCATTGGGGTTGAGCAATATGTCTCAAACAATCACCGTCATTTTGGTCTGTCTCTTCATGCGCTTCGACGTAATTTATTCCATAATAAATTAACAAAAGACCGCCAACTTTTCTTGCTTTGTGACGTCATCGTGTTCTGGCTGCCCACTTTATGTAAATGGCTGCCCTTCAAAGGGGTGCCAATAATGTGCCCCTCACTACTTAAGAAGGGAACAAGTAAGTATTGTGGGTTCACCCTTCCCTTCAGACTTTCTCTTAATTTAAGGAGCATTCATACAACACTACACATTATTTTTAGAACTACTGGGAGACAATTGGTACCCAGGCTTTTAATGTAAAACAATCTTGTTACTTTGTGTAATTATAGTGGACCAAAGGGCTCAATCAAGAAAAAACCCCTTCCTTTCTCTGAAGATCTTTCATAGCTAAATGTACATGTCCTCCAAAAATATGGCACAACACTGCAAGAACTCTACAGGCACTGACTAGCGTTATAGTGGCGCTGGGTGAATTGTGAATAGTAGACTACTTTCTAGGCTAATTGTTGAAAGAAAAACATGTTGCACAACTTTTCTCAATTTCAATTAGGTGATTTACACTCGTGCTAAATTTCCCTTCTCTCTTTGATTTCTTTAGTGTATTGAATCTTAAAGGTCAGTTCAGAATGAGTAAATCAACCTGAGCAATGCAGCTCATACAGTGTCAACAAAATGTCTTCAGCATCCATGTACAACGTAAAGAGCCCTTTTTGTCTAAACACCCAAACTTCAGCTCAGAACTAACCTAAACTAAGTATACCAGGAACTAATAATAATCTTCACATGGCACCATGACTTGTTTTGGGCAATTGATATATATCCCAGGTAAAATAACTTGCCAACCAAAAGGCTAAAGAAAGTAACAAATAAAATCAGCATCTTATTTTGATAAAGAAACCTGTTTCTAATAAACACACACCCCCCCCCCCTTAGTCTCCCTTAATAACCTGTCAAAATTCAACTAGGCCATAGGACTCTAGGCCCACACATGTATGCAATGCGACCTATTTTTGAGATTCATTGGGGGTCTTAAGTCTTTGTCTTTGAGGTTTGGAGGGGGTCTTAATTAGATCTTAGTTTTTGAGACACCTGTTTATTGACTAAGCAAGCCTCCATAACTTGTAAAGCAAAACCATAAATTAACCTATACATGTTAAAATGAATATTTTCATTATGACCATGATTGTGGTGACATTTTCCCTGATCATGTCCAAATGTTTCTCTTAACATACTCAAAATATGTACATGAAAGCTGAAGTATCGTAAGTTAATTCTATAGGTCTTTTCATTCCTAGATCTGGTCAATTCACAAGTTGGTTCTTAGTAAGAATCTTTGATAATTACAATAATTATTTTTTTTAACTATAGGTCGTTCTTCCTGACATGGAGTTCTTTGTCAACCTTGGTGACTGGCCACTTGTTAAGCTCAGCACAAATCCTCTTCCAATTCTTTCCTGGTGTGGTTCAGATGATACCTTAGACATTGTCATGCCTACGTATGATCTCACAGAATCTACACTGGAGACAATGGGAAGGTATGTACATCAAAAGTCTTTTATGAAGAGGTGTCAGGAGAAAGAAAGGCAAGGAAAAAGGAGGGGAATTGAGAAGATAGTTTATCCATCTTAAGAAAGTTCTCTACTACGATTACAAACTACAGACTGTAAGGAGTTGGAAGAGATGCTTTTTATGTGTTCTTAAAGATGGTTAACCCATTGACACCTGGAGATTTTTCGCAAAAACGCATTTTTGGACATCTTGGACATTTTGAGCATGGATATCAGCTAAATATTAGCTCCAATCTACCCAAAAAGGCATTTGCAACATGATAGCATGCCTTTCTTTTCACTAGTATCGTGTTTTATAACATTTTGCTTGGGCATGTGTATAAATCAACATTTTAAGATTCTGGGCAAGAAAATTAAGGGACCTACACATGACATTATTTTTTAACAAACTATTTGCATTCTACAACAGGAGAACACATTCTAATCCCATCATTCCTGTGGGAATGACGGGATTAGAATGAACAATCGATTTGCAGCACTTTGCATTTGTGCCATCTTGGTACGACTGGCACACATGACCTCAAAAGTGATGTGATGCCTCTCTTTGAAGGTTATAACCCACATGCTGTGCATTTCCAAGTGCTTTTTTTATTTGTTGTCCTACAAAGGAATCTTAACAGTTTTCCCCAAGATTATATTAGTGAAGTTGTGTTGTTCTAGCTAGCTAAAATGGCTAAAGATACTTATCTGAATGTTCACATTTTTTCCAAAACTTTAAATTTGTGGGTACCATACCAGTTTGTGATCTGTCAAGTCAGCAATTCATCAATTGCAAGGTTTGACTGTATAATAGCGTGAATAAATCAACAGGACTTAACTAACCTTGGGAGAGACTGCAAAGATTCCAATGTAGCACAGCAGATGACAAAAAGGAAATGGAAACGCACACCACTCAAGGAATGTCGCTGCATGCATGCTTAATTGATGCAAGTTTACACATAAGTTAAAAATGTTCATATTTGGGAATTAAGTGTATGTACTGTATTCTTTTCTATAGTTTTACACAGTACATAACTTTACTAAATGACGTGCCATAAGTAAGTAAGTGAGTAAGTAAGTAAGTAAGTAAACTTTATTTGATAAGTAGGTTGTAGAGGGGATTTGGCAGCCGAAGGGCTGATGTGGACCTACTATACACAAAATATAAAATTTTGTTTAGTGTAATGTGACATTTGATGCCAGTAAATGACAAAAATTAAACAATACCCCCAAAAATACACAATGCGGCAAACCCTTCAAGGCAAATGACATAAATGGGCTTTAAGTGCCTACAACCCCCAAAACAATATCGATACATTCTTGATCATAATTCCAAAAAAAATTTTGCTTTTGGTTGAAACCGCAATTTTTTATGAATTTTCAAAGTTGTGAAAAATCGCTATAATGAAAACCATTATCAAGTCAAAGAACCAGTCCAAAGGATCTGAGTCTAAGTGCATTTCGTGACGTCATACGAGGAGATCATTCGTACAACATTCACTTCCCCACTTCGAGTTGTTGTACAGTACTGTGCAAAAGTAACGAGAGGGAATTTCGACGAAAGTTGGCCTTTGTTTTCGTGAATTTTCCTTGAAACATTGCGGACTTTTTGAACGAACATTTGTACCGCCCACAAGAAAATTCAAATAAATTTCGACAATAATTATCATGGTTGATCGAAAATTCGCAAGACACAGCAAAAGTTCGAAGAAACAAACTTTCAAGCCAGGGAAATATCGAAGAACTGATGTGCAAAGGAAAGGGAAGATCATCGAACTTTTGAGGCATAAAAACAGACAACACCACATCACTTCCCGCGGGCGTGAGAAACATTTTTCGTGTCAGTGCTCATTAGTGCTCTTTCTTGTCCCGGAAGGAAGCCTTCTTGTAACACGGAAGAAAAAGTTTTTACANAATAACAACAACCTTTTCCTCAACAAAGAGAGGGTATTTAGTGTGGAATTGCACTTGTGCATGAAGGGATATTGCTGACCTGAGTTCCAAGCAAAAATTGTTGCTATTGTGAAAACAAAAATGTAACTCGTGCTACGAAAATATCAACTTGGAAATGAACAAATTTAAAGGAAATGAATGTCTGCTAAATTTTGACTTTCAGAAAATTTGAGGACACCACTCACACTCAAAAGTATGAGAAAACACATTGAAGAAAAAAAACAAAATGGCCGAGACAAGGGAAGAAAGCCAAATGACAGTTCCTGCCAAGGAAAACCAAACAACCGTTGCAAAAGAAAACCAAATAGGTATCAATGCCAAAAAAATTCAAGAATCTATTCTGGAAAAGCAAACCATTGTAACCTATACAGATGACAAACTGGTGTCTTTTAAGGACAACATGGTTTCAAAACACACTAAAAAAGTACAAGTACATCCATACACTCTTTGCGGTCTTGGTTCAAGGAAAAACAGTGCAAACAAATTAATCTTAATGCAATTTCAAAGCAAGAAGCACCGCAGCTTCTCAAGCACTTCTTTCTAGAAATAAGGCAGACAACAAAAGAAAATAAAGGCAAAGAATAGGAACCAGGAACATTAGAGTTCGAAGAAGTTTCAAGGATGCTATCCATGAAGAAAAAAGATGAGATTTGAAGCAGAAAGGTCTTGGCAACAAACCAAATGCCGCTCAATCAGTTGAAACAGAAGATACTGAAAAGATGTGGTCATCAGGTGCAATCGGCCTTCAAAATCCTTGCTCTCTTCTCCATCTGGTATGGTGGAACAGTGTCATGCACTTAGGAATGAGAGGATTTAAAGAACTGTCAACTAAGTGATTTCACCACGACAGAGCAGTACATTGAATACAAAGAACGACAAACCAAGAGCCACCAGGGAGAGACAAACCGACTGGGACAAAATGGGTGAGAAAGTATAACAAGATTTGGAGGATTGACGGTGGACAGCAAGATCTGCACAGAGCATTTATCAAGTATGCTGGCCATTGTCCGAGGGGTGATAACATTCCTGGAAATTTCTAGCTGAGTCCAGTTGACAGTCCAAAATCCAGTGTCTGGTACAAAATAGTTCCAGTTGGTAGAAATACATTGGCAAAGCAAATGAAGAGTGTTGCATCCATTTCCTCCCTGGACGGCAAAATCACAAATTCGAGTGGTCACAACAGTCATCCAAGAGCTGGGTAATAATTTCAACCCACTGGAGACCTCAGAGCTGACTGGCCATGCCAATCCTGAATCCATATCCAACTACGGCCATAATCCTGTGGAAAAACAGCAGGGCCACGCCAATCCTGAATCCATATCCAGCTACAGCCATAATGCTCTGGAAAAATAGCAGGGAATGTTGTATAAATTGGTCGGTTTCAACCCAAGCAGGACAACTTCTAACAGCGATTCAAGTCATGCTTTACGGCAGATGTTCTCAACAGCTCAGCCCCGCTAAGCAACACAGTGGCTACAAGTAACCGTGACAGCAGTGCCAGTCATTCTAGTTACCTGATGGCAGGGGTAGTTGGCAAGGTGTTTACTGGAGTAACTTTTAGTAATTCTCCAGTAAATATTTCCATAAACTTTCGGTCCAACATGACACCAACAAGCAACTCTCTACAATGAGAGAAATTCAGTTAAAATGGTGACTGCAAAACACTTACAGGTTTTTTGTAGTTCTTGTTTTAATACCGGAACACTTGAAATTTTCCTTTCACTTGAGCATTTCAGTTGTTGATTGTCAGTGCCCTATTTTGCCAAGTTGTATGGTAGCAGGCAAATCCAAGATATTCATTGAATGAAAGGATTTTTCTATAAACCTTTTGTCTTAAATGACTCAGTATTTTGTACTTTCAGTTTTTTTGCTGAAGATTGTAAAATGTGAGGCACTGCTTTCTCCATGAGTTTGAAATAAAAGTGGTTTTCATTCTAAAAATATCTTGTTACCTATTTGCTAGATCTTGACACCTGACTTTGAAAGGGTTTCCATTGTTTCCGCACTTGCATCCAACAATTTGGTTGTTTTAGCTATGTAAATCAAGAAAAATTCACTGCCTGGCAAGTGAATTCCACGTTAAATTTCACTTGAAAAACCGATATCGCACTCATCACTTCATGATTCATGTGCTATCAGTTTTTACACCATTTGGTGTTTTTTTGTGGACTAATGCCAAGGTTGAAATTATTTTTCTACAAGATATTTGTATGTCAAGTCTTGGTTGTTCTGCTTATGATATCAACTGTTTCTTTTCCTTGTAACATATGCTATATGGGAGAGGTATTTTAATATTGATCATAACCCTTATGATCCGAGATTGTATTGTAATGATATTATGTAATATACATTTTATATCAACAGGCTCAACAGATAGTAAAAAATGCTCAGTCATATGTACGAAGTAACCTACTCTCTGATCATATCTTCTGTTACCACTGGATCCTTTTAACGGTAAGATCATGATGAGTTTAGAAGTGATTAACTGTTTCAGTTTGTACTGACTGCAATGATCCTCTGCAAGAAACAAGATGGTGACTGTACAATTTTAACACAGTACCATACAAGCCCTACACAGCTCATAAAGTACAAGGAAAGCCATATATTGCTGGCAAACCCCAGCATTGCTTTCCTGAATCACCAGCAAACATCCACTGAAGTGGGAATTTTAATGCTGACAATTTCACAGATAATTTTTATCACAACCCATTGCGAAGCCCCACGAATGTACTGAAGGTGGAAAATAGCCATGAAAAGCTCCGATGGCCTCCAGGTTTCACCTATATACAGTGCATGTTTGATAGCCAGCAAACAAATATTTTCTCATCGTGGCCTGTCAAAAACACTGGAAAACAATGAAGCCAAAACTCCCTGAAATCGCTTTACTTTGACTTTACTCGAGTAACACAACCTAAACCTCTACAGCAACATAGAAAAAAGTAACACAAATGAAGCCAGGGAAGGCTTTTTTAGTGTATTTCTTTTCCTCTGTGAAAAATTTGAAGCTAGATGAAAATTTGAAATTCGAACTGAAT